TGTTTCCTCCAGTTTCTCCTGCATCTCTGCTCTGCCTCTCCTGAAATGACATGAATAACTGGAGAATTTGGGGTGAAACAAGATTTAAAACAGATATTTGAAAAATATATATAATCAGATTCATATATTGTATTTTTTTCCTATAATATATAACAATAATATGTTTTATTTATCAGCAGTTCCTCTTAACATGCACCTGATTCTGGGTAATTCTCGCCTATTTTTCACATCCAGATGGAAAAGCAAATAACTTAGAAACTATAAACCCAAATGACGTGTGCAATACATTATTTGAAAGCTAACACCCTCTAGTTTCTAAATATATAAATTAAATAATAAAGATGTGAGTAGAACACAGACCAACCTGCATCAGTTCAAACATGACTCAAAGTTGTTGTTTTTATTCTCAGATATGATAGATCTTTTTTGAACAGCAGTAATAAAGATATTCTTGAGAAAATGCAGGTTTAATTTTATTATATTTGATCTATATCATGTCAACCTCAAATGCAGAAAAAGTCAGACCTCTAGCTAAAACAGTTCCAGAGCTGTGGAACCGTTTCTGATAGTCAGAAATAGCGTTGATTATAAAGTTTGAATTGAAAAAGCTTCCTGGATGGGAAGAGAAACGTCTGCAAACTTCCAGTCCGTTGGATTGATTTTTAAAATTTTTTTGGACTGACTCTGACCTGGATGACTGAGAATCTTCTCCTGCATGATGGATTGATTTTTAAAATCTTTTTGGACTGACTCTGACCTGGATGACTGAGAATCTTCTCCTGCATGATGGATTGATTTTTAAAATCTTTTTGGACTGACTCTGACCTGGATGACTGAGAATCTTCTCCTGCATGATGGATTGATTTTTTTAATCTGTTGCAAAAGTAAAGGCACATTCTGCACAAAAGGCAACATATAGATGATTTGTTATAGATCTATTTTCACTAGTGGCATGGAGCGGTGGCTGGACCTGTCTATGATGGGAACAGACTGTGTTCTGTTTGGGAAGTTTCCGGGTCTGTTGGTGAATCCAGTGTTTCTCTGGCTGCCACACGGAGCACTGCTGGGTATCTAACTGACTTCCACAGCAGCGCCAGTAACGATGCAGGACATCAATAAACGATGCAGGACATCAATAAACGATGCAGGACATCAATAAACGATGCAGGACATCAATAAACTACATTCTGATCTTTCTACATGAAGAAGAAGAACCAGTTATCGGGTCTGACGGATCCTGAAACTCCCCCACAGCAGGCAGCACTGACATGCTAACCGACCATCCCTACTTTTATTGCCAGGATGTTAAATATGTTATTTTCTTCTGTGCCAGAATGTCTTATAAAGTCCAAACATGATGTTGCGAAAACGGCAATAAAATGCTGGTCTGGTTTACAAGTCTTGACTCTAAGCATCAACACATGACTAGTGTTTGGAGAACAGATGGGACTGTTTACCTTCCTCGGAAACATAGTCAGTGTGTTATTTATGAAATAACCATCATCAAACTGAACGTTGTAGAAAACATTTCAGAGGATTAACCTTTTAGAGGCAGATTTTACAGAAAGGTCAGATTCCACCTTAACAATGGCGTTGAATTAAAACCAGCGTTAATCAGCCGGTAGGAAGGGGTGGATCGGGCACAGACCGTCCCCAAACCCTCCATGGTCTGAACTAAGGTCCAGCGCTCTGAACGGCCTCACTGCCACATTCAGCCTTTAAAGTCTTCAGTTCCTGCTGGGTGGTGCTTTGGTTTCCTGATGAGGACTCCCGCTTCTGGCCTTCATCCTTTCTACAGGGTAGAAGCTCCAGCAGCGCCTTCCGGAACATCGAGCTGGAGAAGACGTAGACGATGGGGTCCAGAGCCGAGTTCAGGAAGTTCAGACCCAAAGACACAATGGTGAGCTGAGTAAAGGTGTAGAAGGCAGTGCAGTCCCATGGTCGGAACGAGCGGATGACCCACACGCCGATGGTGGTGACCGTGGTGGGAAGGAAGCAGATGATGAACACAGCCACGATGGCGCCACACATCCTCATGGCCTTCCGCACCTTCTCAGGTTTCCCCATCTGCCTCTGCTTCAGGAAGCAGGAGATCCGGACGGAGCAGAACAGCAGCATGGCCATGGGGACGATGAACTCCAGCACCGTCAGTATGCGGTGCATGCCGACCAGGATGATGATTGAACGGGACGCCTCCTTATAGGACGTGAAGAAGAAGCACTGGGTCTTCTCTCCGCTGCCCTTGATGTGGTTGAAGGCCAGCATGGGAACCCGAGGACTGATCACCAACAGCCAGACCAACACTGAGACAAAAGCAGCCTGTCGCTTGGTCATACGGTTGAAGCGATGATGAGAGTGGACTATCTGGGGAAGAAAAGACATGGATCTCATTGGAGTTCATGTTTTCAACCTTTCCTTGTTGTGCTTTGACAGGTTCTGGCCATCTGGGTTCTATTTTGGTCATCTGGGTTTTAAAGTAAAACCAGAATCTGTTTTCACTATAGAGATTCAAACTCATCTTAAATGTGATCCTATGGAGGCAGAAAATAGGAGCAGGAGAGAATCGCTCAGGGTGGCGTTCCTGCAGGAAACCCCCTAAAAAGGCGCTACAGTAATGAGCTTTGAAAAGTGGTTTCTGTTGTTCCTCACCTTGAAGTAGCGGTAAATTGCCACAACGGTCATGAGTGCAATGCTGGCAGATCGGTTGGAAAACATCAGGAAGAGGTTTATCCGGCACATGCCATCTCCAAACACCCAATGGCCTCTGAGCAAGGCATCGATCCTCAGCGGCAGACTCACCAGGGCAAAGAAGTCAGCAATAACCAGGTTAAAGAGGAACAGGGTGTTTGGGTTCCAGGCCTTCAGCTTAAAGCAGAAGATCCAAAGTGCCACAATGTTTCCCATGAATCCCAGGATAACGTCGATGATCAGGACTGGAGGCATGATGAGGCCTTCCAGCTGGATGCCAACAGGAGGGCAGCCGCCGCCTCCACGGGCAGACGTTAGCGGGTTGGAAACTGTGGTGAAGTTTGAGTCTGGAGGCATTTTTCAAAGGAGGACAGCCTGAAGGGAGGAAAAGTTATAAAAGAAATAAAAAGTTTTACTGATAAAAACATCTGTGGAGTCAGTGAATCATGAATAATGAAGCAAATAACCCAAATGAATCAACAAAGGAAAGTTTAGAAAATGAGGAAATCTACAGCTTCCTCTTTCGCCTCCTTCCTCTTTTCTCTAATTTCAGAAAATCGCCAAAAACATCTTTTGGTCTTGATGCAACTTTTCTTTTTCAAGTGGATCAAAAAAACTAAAAAGAAAGATCTGCAGATAAAAACTATTCAAATGATAAAAATGAGAAATAGTGCCAATAGTTACGGTATCAATTTAAAGATTTGGAAAAAGTAATAAAATATTGATTCTAGAAGCCCTCAGAGAGGAGACCCCCAACCAGCAGCAAGTCCTGCCCTATACTGTGACTTCCAGCTGTGGCGTAGAACATCTGGATCATTAAATCAATCCTTCTTTAGACTGAGGGGAACACATGAAAAAAAAAAAAAAGGAAATCATTACAATCTGTTCATAAGTTTTCAGTTCATCCTCCTTTTCTGATGTTTTTGTCTTCAGTAAAAATCCTGCAGACTTTTTTAATCCGATGCTTCATTGAGGAGCTGCTTGTTCTGTCGCAATGCTGAAAAAATCCCTGGATTATTTTTTTTTCCAGATTATCATTTGGATCCAAGGAGGAAAAAAAAAATTTAACTGATTTTTCAATATTATTTCAATTTAATTTGGGAAAACAGTCAGAAAT